TAGCATTCTGCTTTGCATGCTCCTGCCCTTTATGTGACAGTGGTCAGGCCAGGCAATCAGCTGCCAAAACAGACCTTTACCCCCGTTCATTAAAAATCAAATCAGCCTGCAGCTCTGCATGCATGAAATCATCTTACATTCATTAGTTGAAAGAGAACTATGACCCAACCTTTTTTGGCCAGTAGTTCTATTTGGGGGTCACAGGAGGACATATACTAATGTCCTTCTGTGACTCGAATCTCAGCATACAGTGGGCTATTGCCTGCTATATGCTGATAGGGCAGAGTCGCGCTGCAGCCAGGACGGATCCCAACAAGGTTGTCAGGCTCCACCCCGCCACCTGATTGACAGCTGGCTCTGCATCTCTAGAGGGGGATAGCTCTGCAGCGAGCGATGATTGACAGTCACCACTCTTTGCAGGGAGAAGAACGGGAACTGATCGCTCAGTTCCCAATAAATAGAGCCAAAGTGTGACAGCTTCAGTGTCACACGTTGGCTCTAATTATGGGGATGCGTATATTTTACTCTCCCCCTAATCCTCCTTTAAAACAAACTTTTTTCTTTTACTTACAATTACTGTTTTTCCACTTCCTGGTTGAGTGAGGCACTGGTGATGTAGACCTGACCTCACAGATGCATTATGTGAAAGCTACATCACTAGTGCCGTCCTGGGAAATCTCAGCAGTAAACATGAGATCTTGGGGGGAAAGGCATTTTTCCCCCTGAGATAATGTGTACTGTCACATGTTCCAGAAGGCAGACCCAGAGTTCCAAGAAGTGAAGGGAGGAATTACCTGTTTGTAGATTGCCATCACTAAACATTTCCTAAAGGTGTCTTTGATGTCATTTATAAAGAAGAACTCCCAGAAAACATTTTCTTAACCCTTGCAGTTGGGCTACCAACCCCCACAGCTGTGCATTGTAGTGCAGCTGCTGGTGTGAATGCAGGCTAAATGGTGGACTGTGGCGTGGACACGGACCACTCTGCCAAGACTGCGATTTGGACCGTGGCCCCATGAAAGTTTTATTCACTGAACCACCTTGTATTTTAATTCACTACCCCTGCTCTATAGAGGGCTTTGTTTGAGCTCTGGGCAAAGCCATAACTGGTGACCTCCATGTGCACTCATGGTACAAAATTAGGATAATTTACTCAAGGCAAATAGGTTGTTACTTCTCAAGGGAATATCACTTAGCTTAGTGAATGAGGTGAAGCTCTGTTGACTTCCATCATCAAATCATGTGCATGCAAAAATACAGATGTTGTTTTTTTTAACTTTCCTTGCACATGCTTAGGTATTTTTTGCAAAAAAATTTCACCACATTCACTATGCTAAGGGAAAATTCCCTTGCAAAGTGAACAGCCTGTTTGACATAAGTAAATCAACTCTATTGACTCATTCTTTCATGCTCATTGCAGCTTTGGGATAGAAGCAATGTAGAGAAGTCTTTTTCAGCTTCCACCCACGGGACAACTGAAACAAAGAAACCTATGAGCACCTAGGCTTTGGAGTCGTTTAAAACATGGAAGGGTAAAATATACTAGAAGGAACGATGCACACATGTTGCATATATAGTTAATTTTTTTCGTCGACGTACAGTTTAAATACATGTATATCCCAAGACAGACAATGACTGAAGATGTTTACAGTGAAGACAGTACATTCAGATATTTCTGTTTACCTTGTGGGTTTTTTTCTAGTTATGACAATATTCATGATTCTTATTAGAGATCACTGTGTCTATATAATCATCTCATTGCTAAGCAACATCATACGTGATGGTGTGTCAGAGATGACCTCGACAACCTCAGCATATTGCCTGTTGCAGTTATAATATAACTATATGCTTATCACTTCGGCAATGCAGAAATCTAATGTGCAAGGTAAGAAATGTAGCCTGGAGCTGAAGTGAATATAAAACTTAGAGGTAGATCGCATATACTTTACAGTCAATGGGCAAAAATACATTGGGGGGAATTTATCAAAACTGGAGCCGACAAAATCTGGAGCAGATTTGCACTGCAACCAATCAGCTCCTCTCTTCAGTTTGCTCAGGCAAGATTTGAAAATGAGACAGAGATGCTGATTGGTTACAGTGCAAATCTGCTGAAGATTTTGTCTGCTCCAGTTTCAATAAATTCCCCCCCAATGTAAATACAGGAACTCATCCTTTGTTAGGACTCTCTGGTACCCCACTTATATGTCATTGCTTAATGGTATAAAAAAGTTATTAACCTGTTGGAGTGTACAACATTTTCATGCACGAAAGCTGCCAAACAGATATCTTCAAATCTTGATTGCATTGCTCATCAAAGAGACCAACTGTGTGTTGTTCATGCCTGGGGCATGGCGGGGGAGATGAGAAAGGTGACATTCATTCATCGGGACGAGACATCAAGCTTTGCACCCTGTGGTGTTGATAAGGGTGTAGGCACATTGGGAAGACATGTCAAGATATCCGGATTTTGCATATGAAGGTGACTGGCCATTGTCTAAAGATCAAAGGACAAGGTGTTGACCTAGGCCAAGGACTGATCTGCAGTACGATGGTGCCCCCTGCTGGAGGACTACAGTGCATGTGGATAAATATGAAGGACCATGCCGATTGGCCGAGAGACATTTAAGGGACATGCGGAATTCTGGGTAAAGGGGGTGTCGATGTATGTGTATGAATGGGTATAAAAGTCCGTGCGCGGCAATATTGCTCTCTCTTTGAGCCCAGCCAGGATATAGGAACCAGAGGACGGACTTGCTGTGTAAAGTATTCTCTTGATTGTCTTATTATATCTGTTTGTATCTTTTATTATGTTTGATTAGATTTGTGTATAAATAAATAAGACCATTGCTTCTTTTAACCATTGTATCGTTATCATCATTGGAAGCAGAGAATAGCAAGTTAGCTTATTTCAGGAAGCCAAGGCAATTTAGATATTACATAACCATAAAATGCTTTAAAAGGAAAGTCACTAAAGAAATACATAATAGTGGTGTACTGGTTAGCACTTGCAGTACGTGGGGTCCCTGGTTCAAATTCCGGTCAAGACACTATCTGCAAAGTGTTTGCATGTTCTCCCTGTGCTTGTGTGGGTTTTCTCCGGATACTCAGGTTTCCTCCCATCCTCCAAAGACATGCTGGAAGGTTAATTTGCTCCTTTCTAAATTGGCCCTGAATGTGTGTGCGATAGGGATCTTAGATTGTAAGCTCCTTGAGGGCAGGGAGTGATGTGAATGTGCACTGTGTAAAGAGCTGTGTAAATTGATGGTGCTATATAAATATCTGTAATAAATAAACCAGGACATCATTTAATTTAAAAGACATAATGATATTTTCAATTTGCAGCTACCTTAAAGGAGAATTATGGGGAGAGTGAAATACATTCATCCCCATAATTAGAGCCGATGTGTGACACTGAAGCTGTCACAGGTCAGCTCTATTGATCGGGGACTGAGCGATCACATACTGCTGATTAGTGAGTTCCCGATCTTCTCCCTGCAGAGAGCAGTGACTGCCAGTCACCTCCCCGCAGGTATTCCCCTTCCCCTCTTTCTATTCCTCCAGCCCTGAGTGGAGGAATAGACTGGGGAGAGGGTGGGCACAGCTGGCTCTGGCTCGAGAGAGGCAGAGCCAGCTTTCAATCAGACAGCGGGGTGGATCCTGACAATATTGTCAGGATCCGTCCTGGTTGCAGCAAGGCTCTGCCTGTCAGCATATAGAAGGCAATAGCCCGCTATATGCTTTGTTTTGGATCACAGGAGGTCAATAATATATGTCCTCCTGTAACCCTAAAGAGAATTACTGGCAAATATAAGGTTGGGCCATAGTTCTCCATGTATCTATGTATTAATCCCTAAAGCTAAATCTAGTTGATATAGCTTACTGAAGCTTACATCAGTCTTAAAACACCTTAGACTGCCTCACACTATCACTGCCCATTGTGGTGTGTTGTGTCAGGTGTTAGCATGCTTTCCATTAAGGCAGCCCATTTACTATGAATGGGCTTCCAGCACACTGCAACAGACCAGAAAATGCACATGGTTTATTTTGCAGTATAAAGTGTGCAATGCAGTGCCATGTGCTTGCATTGCAGTGCCTATGCAGTCCCATGTGCTTGCATTGGCCAATACTGCATAGTGCATTGGGGCACCGGTCACCATGTACACACCCGTTTACCTTGTGTTACTGCAATGCATTGCTCTGAGTGGGCCGTTAATGGCCTTAAGGCTGTTTGTTCTGAACATTTAAACCTGTCTAATTTAGTATATAGTTGGGCTGGCTAACCACCTGAGACCAACTCCAGGCACACAATAATCACCCAACCTTCCTCTGGGTCCCCCGCGAATGCATTAAAAAATGCATCAACCTTGCTGTATTCCTGTGATATAAGCATCTTTAAGATCCTGTGACATCATCATGGGCTGTTGTGGAAATTGCTGCGATCAGGGGAGGACTCAGCAGAGCATCCTATTCAGATGACATAGGTGCGCCCTGCAATATGGCAGTGCAAGGGCTCTTTGGAAGGGAGATATAGTTTGGGAGAGTGTGTGATCAGGACTAATAGAAGGTGATTGGGTGATGATAGGGGAGAACAGAACTCCCGTTAAGCAATGCAAGTGTCATTCAAAGTAAGAGGGATTTATAGATTGGGCTGCTTTAGCATGCAGACTACTACATGTAAGGTCAACTTATGACCATGCCACCATCATGGAAACATGGCCATCAGAAGGAAGGCACCTCTACAATACAGAGGGAGTTTCTATAAAAACCAGGTCGTGCGATAGGGGCAGGATGTCCTGAAGTTACCCAGATCTACATTCCTTCAAAAAGAAGGCTGAATTGCAGTAGAAACAGCAGTTATGATTAATGGTAAGGCTGGAATTTTAAAGTATTCTTCCTTCTAAACAAATTGTAAAACTGCGAAAATACATTCTTTTTTTAAAGAAGATGCATGACTCTCTGACTAATAATGTAAAGATAACAGGCAATGTAGACATACATACCAGTGTGCAGAAAATACATTGGCATTGTGATATGGTGGTCATCTGCTCTACAGGATACTCTCCAAGGCAAAGTTTGCAGGAAACCAAGGGGTCCAAGGCCAGGTCCCATGTAGGCCGGTATCGTGCTGTAGTCATGGCCAATCCGTCTGCAATCAACGAAAGTCAACATTCAGTAAGTAAAAGAGGACACGGTTAAATAAATTATATACATAGAGAGTTACATTTAATACATACATGGTGCAGATGTAATTCTACCTTCTTGTCCATTGCAATACAAATCTATATTTCCTAGTATGTCAATTGATCTATTTGCAGATCTAAACACTCTGTGCTCTTAGCTCCCATCCTCAGTGCTTCCAAAACTCAGTGCTGCCTGCAACACATTCTCACTTCACATCTTTTCTTTACCTCACTCAGTTTTGGATGGAATGGGGAAAGGGGTGCTGGGAGTTGAAGTCTGGATGTCTGCAAAGTCTGGCCTGTATCAGACACTGAAGGGCCATTGACATTCTATAATCAGGCATTTGAGAACTGGGAGGAGCAGCACCAAACGTCCTGTATATCCACAATCATGTACATGTCTACAGCTGTATAGAGCAGCCTAGTATTTGAGGTTTTCTGACACACTTCAGCATTTCAAAACAAAGGTAAATCTTTAAAGCTGAAATCCAGGCAAATAGAAGCAGCTAAATGCATTATTTGGACCAATTTACCAACCAAATAATAACTAATTGTGTGCAGTTTATTCTAGGAGCCACCTCTGTCTGACAGGACAGACAGATCCTTTACCTCCACTGCAGATACAGCACTCAGTAGGAACCAGACACACCCCCACATTGCTGATTGGATATTAAAAGAGAAGCAGCACACTGATGAAGATATCCCTCTGCTCAATCTGCTCTCTCCACCTGTCAGCATACTCACAGTAAGAACATGTGCACTGCGCAGAGTCTAATTGTCTCCAAGTGCTGCCTCTCCCTCTTTCAGTTTGAGTGCAACTATACAGAAGGCTTATATCAACACAGCCTCAGGTACTTGCATTGTTTGTGTCTAAAAATATATTTGATATTTCTGCTTTCTAGATACATAGCTGCATTCATTAATGTGTTATGTCTGCCTGGAGTAAACCTTTAAGTAGAAAAAAAGACACAAGCATGTCTCAACTCCAATAAACTACAACTTAAATTTAGTTTGCCAAGACAGAAACAGTGAACATATTGTGGTTTTTGAAATCTGTATGCAATTTTCTCAGCAAGGTCACCTCTTCTTAGGAAACAATGCCAAACTGGGCTGAGTTATGAAACCTGGAACACAACCAGAGAAATTCCCCCATCAGAGTTTTTGTTTTGTTTTCTCGGAAAATGAAAGTATGGGAATGAGCTCCCCTCCTGATCCAGATTTCATTAATCAGTCTCGCTGAAGTCTTTTTATTATTCAATTCAGAGTTAAAAGGAATTATGCCTTATAAATTGCTGTTTCCACACAATACAAAACTAATGCAATGTTATAAAAATAAAAATATCTGTGGGCAGATGATTTACTGAGAATGATGAGTGGTAAGACATCTGCTTGTCTTCATACTTGTCACAGCTCCACTAGGACCGGCTACATTGTAATCTCAGAATGAGGCCAATGGGTAATTGTGACACATTCCCGATAACAAGTGTGGCAGTGCGTGGCAATGCCATGGTGTCTTTTGGCAATACAGTCATCCAGGTCTCTCAGCCAGGGGGGCTGAGCAGTTCCAGAAAGTGCAAACGTTTACTGGGAAAGAGCTGGCTTTGCAGTTCTGCCCAGGTCTTCCGGATTTGGCTTGGGTTCCTGCAACTGGGAGATTTCAAAGAGCATTGGGAGGGATGAAATCTCCACTCCTGGGTCCAGGCTTTAGTGGTGACCAGCACCGAAAGATTGTGCACCTGGGCACAGCCCTGATGAGAAGAATGCTGGCTCATGTTCAGGGCTCCACCTGGGGGACAGAGGAGGTGTCTGCAGGAGTCAGGAGGGCTCCACAATGGGACCAGTCTGTGGCTAGCGGACTGAAGAGTGGGTCACCTGTGTGGTGAAAACGTTTGGTAATCAGACAAACCTAAAATTTGTGGACTTCGAAAGTGCTATTTTGGATGTGCATATGTTCCTGTGCAAGAGATGATAATGGACCCCTGCAAGGGTAATCACATTGTTTTGAAGACTTTCATTAAATAAAAGTGGGCAAGAATGCCCTTAAAAGAAGTCATAAGCGAGTGGATGCGTCCTTAACCTCTTGCCGTCCGCCCATAAGGCTAAAATCTCACACAAGCTCGGCACCACATTCAGGGAGATTTTTCAACAAATGTCCATCATCACCGCTGGAGAATCCATGTTTGGCCACGCATGACCACCATACATCTATAAAAATGATTGCCACTACTAGTCTCTGGGTTCTACACTGCCCAGAGGAAATGTATTAAAGATCCATCAGTTCTATACCATTCTTACAATTGTGTACCATTACATGAGACAGATACAACAGATTAATGAGCAACAGCAACCAGGAGCTAAGGGTACCATTCCCAAAAAAGGAATATATAGTGCTTTTGTACATAGTATCTTGACGTACAACTCCAATTCCAAAAACGTTGGGACGCTGTGTAAAATCTTAATAAAAACAGAATGCAACGATTTGCAAATCTCATGAACCCAGATTTTATTAGAAAATGTTATTAAAAAATAAGATAATTTTGAAATTGATGGCAGCAACACATCTCAAAAAAGTTGGGACAGGGCAATGTTTACCACAGTGTAGCATCCCCTCTTCTTTTAACAACACTCTGTAAATGTCTGGGAACCAAGGAGACCAGTTGCTGGAGTTTTGGGAGATCCTCTTCCATTTGAGAGGGCTCTTCCATTCTTACCTGATATAAGATTCTAACTGCTAAACAGTCCTGGGTCTTCTTTGATGTTTTTTTAATTTCATGATGTGCCAAATATTTTCAATTGGTGAAAGGTCTGGACTTCAGGCAAGCCAGTTAAGCACACAGTCTTCTACTATGAAAACATGCTGTTGTCTTAGGTGCAGTATGCAGTTTAACATTGTCCTGATGCAATATGCAAGGTCTTCCCTGAAAAATACATCGTCTGGATGGGAGTATATGCTGCTCATACTATCAGAGATATGGGTAATGGTCCACTTTAAGTGATTGTTTGTTTTTTCTAGGGGACTCAAAGTAGTTTTACTTACCCGATCCCAGCTCCAGTGGAGGTTTAGCGCTCACTTCTTGTTCCTCTCCACTCCAAATGTTGTAATGTCCCGTCCCCGTCCCCCCCACACACAGCAAGGGTGAAGTGCTCCTTTTTCTTTAGGTGCTAAAAAAAAAAAAGTTATACTCAACTTAACTGGTCACTGGCGTTTGTCTCATCCTATGCTGCAGCACTGCAATGTTCCTCAGCGTCCTCATGTCTATACACTGTGTATATAATGTGATGATTTACGGGACCTTAGGCTGCTGCAGAGAAAGGGGAGAAAAGCTCCAGAGACCAGTCTCAGAACTAGCCGGCTCTGATGATCAGGTGAGTATAACTTTTTTTTTACCACCTAGTAAAAAATTAGCAGTTAACCCTTGTAGGGTGGAGGTAGCCCCAGTGAAAGGGTTAAGAAAAATTCTGCCCGGAGTTTTGCTTTAATAGTGTCCCCTAGACATATACAAGCACTTAACCCTTACAGTGGGGCTAGCAAAGGTCAGTTGTTTTCTTTGCCTGGAGATGGGCTTCAATAATACTGGTGTTCAAAATAAGAGAAAAACCAGAACAAAAGGAAATTGGTTCATTGAAGGTTTCAACAGAGAAAATAACAGAGAAAAACTTTTGCTTGTCTCATGTTTGCTGTAGACTACCTGGATGCTAAACCAAAAAAAAAATGCTGGTAGAACTTCTGTGAGTTGCACACAGAATTATATCTGGAGAAAACCCCTGAATATCAACATCCAAACTGTGAAGCATGGCGGAGGAAATAAAATTGTGCACACTGCTTTTCAGCATGTCTTAGGAGCCGTATAAACCAGAGGATTCCATTATTCAAATGAAGCTGACTGCCTTTTGCCTCCCAAGGCTCCAACTAGTCTCCAATTATTATGGCAGCCTCAAAGTTTTTTTCTGGTGTACAGACAATTGTAATGAAATATAAATATAGACTCCAGACAATTTGTTAACAATATTTCAAACTGTATTATTTTATTTATTTATCTTTTTATATAAATACAAAACAGGAAGAGAAAGTCTTAGTAATATTTGCCTTTAATTTTTTCTTTTGAGGACCTCACTGTTGCTCTATTTGTATGACCGAAATTGAAGCAAATCGAAGCACCTAACAAAGACGGAATACAGTAGTATTATTATTATTATTTGCCACAGTACGAGAATAATAGCTGCAACTTTCTACCTGTGCCTTCTAAATCCCATGACTGACATTAATTGAAGGAATGATGTTGGAAGAAAAATAAAAAAGATTACAACCAGTAAAGATTTGTCTTAAAGTGGATTTCCACGTTTGCTGTCAAGCTACGTTTTGAAAAAGCAGATGACATGAAAGTGACACTAAACTCCGTTAAAAGAAAACTATAGGGTAACCTTTTTATCCCATAGTTCTCTTTAGGGTCACGGAAGGTCATATACTAACCTCCTCCGGGGACCCAAAGCTCAGTATATAGTGCGCTATTGCCCGCTATATGCTGAGAGCACCGCAGCCCGGACAGATCCCGACAATATTGTTGAGATCCACCCAGCTGGCTGAATAACAGTAGGCTCTGCCTATCTAGAGGCAGAGCCAGCTGTGCTCGCCCCCTTCCCCCCTTTCGTTCCTCTATTCAGCGCTGGAGGATCGGAGTGGGCAGGGGGGGAATCCTTGCGGGGAGCGGTGACTGATAATCACCGCTCTCTGCTGGGAGATGATCAGGAAGTGAGCGAATCGGCGGTATGTGTTCGCTCACTTCCCGATCAACAGAGCCGACCTGTGACAGTTTAACAACTCCATCCAAATAGATTAGAATTCCAAATAACGAATATCGAACCGATCCAAATTTCAGAGAACAAAACAAAAAAAATCAAAACGAAAACCATGCACATGTCTAACCACAGCCATTGTGGAGCACTGCAAAGATGTACTGTATGTAAT